AGTCCTCCTTTAAACTGGGGCAAGCGAGCATCGGGCGGGCGGGGCAAGTGAGTGAGCAGAAACCGGAAGACCAGGTTCGGGGTGTGGCCAGCTAGATGTTGCTACCAGTTCAGCAATCCATGCCAAATTCTTGCTACCGGTTTGCCCGAGTAGGTGCAAACTAGCTGAATACCACCTCTGGAACAGTTGTCCTCAGAAGTTGTGGGAGCGTCATCGCTTGAGACTTGGATGAAGAGATTGGACTGTCATTTGTCAAAAATGGTGTAGAGTCTCCCACTTGGGTGGGGAGTTGGACTAGATGACCTACAAGGTCCCTTCCAACTCTGATTATCTGTTTATCTGTTACTCTGCAAATCTGATTTGTTCAAGTGGGAGTTACATGGAAAAGTAATCTATTAATATAATGAGGGTACAAAGTACATTTTATACAGTATTTACAATCTGCTACAAAACTAAACCATGGCATTTTACAATTTAAAACAAAACATGAAAAATAAAAGTAAAAAAAATAGTGAAGATAAAAACTCTTTTGGTAGCTAAAAAATATCTGCCATTTTTCTTTTAATCCTTTCCATTTTAATTGTTTCCACAGCATTCTTTGTTTTAGAAATAACTCAGAGAGAAAAATAGGAAAAATAGGGAAAAGTATTACTTTGATGTCTCCCAACTTTCTACTTTGGAAGAATTTGGCTGCATTTATTTATTTTTTTAATTTATTGGCTGGCCATTTTACCACAAGATAAACTCTGGATTGCTATCTCGATTCTGACCCTCAAATATAAGCCAACCTTCGTTGCTTTGCCTTTCATGCCTAAGTTTTTTTTCTTTTCTAAAGAAATTGAAATTGAGAAATAGAAAATTAAACTCAAAATTGTCCTAGATGTTTAAAAGAAGGGGGAAATGGCAACACTTCCTGTCAAGTGCTGTTGATGACTTTTATGAAGCTGGGTTCGCATGATGCTAGATTACAATTAGAGAATTTGGCATACATATCCAGATTCTCAATAAATTCTGCACTTTCTTATCTTAACTTTGATTTTTCATATTATATGGGCTCAAAAGTCAAAATCTTTTTTTAAGTTAGCTTGTGTGGAAATTTGATGGGATTAAAAGACCATATATTTAAAGACCATATATTTCATTTGGGGTTTAACAAAAGATTTGGCTGGTCCATCTTATTTTTATTCATGTCAAAGTTCTGGATTAACATTTGTTCTAAACTATTATGGATGTATAGCTATTTGGTCCTACCCCAAAGCATTGTTTTAAATATTTCCTTGTGTTGGCTTTAGTGTTAATATTTGTTTACTTAGACGCTGTCAAATTCAAAGGAAATTTGGTGGACTGATTTGTAATTATTGCCTTTTTGGTTTTATACCATACTTGGGAAGGGTGCATTATTGTTATACTCATGTTAATTCTAGGATTTGGATATAAACATGCAAAATTAGAGCAGCTGCATAGTGAAGTTGTTCCTGTTGCAATGCTCTTCTTACACACACACACACACACACACACCCCACACACACCTCTTACACATGTAGCCAACTGGGTGACTTTAGATGAGTCACACTCTCCCAGTCCTAGGAAGCAGGCTGAGGTAAACCACTTCCAAAATCCTTCAAGGTAAAAGCTGATTTAGGGACAGTTCAAAGTTAAAAAAGCGTTGAAAAAAATGACTTTTGACTGTTTTTTCAAATCAAACGTTTATTGTCAATGCACAACATGTGTACAATGAAATTGAAATTAGCTTTTTTACTTCCTTTCATACATATGGCCATTGCAGCATCTACACAATCATGTGATCAAAATTCAGACGCTTGGCAACAGGCTCATATTTACAATGGTTGCAATGTCCCATTGTCATGTGATCACCTTCCGTGACTTTCTGACAAGCAAAGTCAATGGGGAAGACAAATTCACTTAGCAATCCTATTTTCTAACAATTCCAGTGATTCACCAAATAGCCATGGCAAAAAGAGGTCATAAAACGGGGCAAAAATCACTTCACTGTCTCGCTTAGCAACAGACATTTTGGGTTCAATTGTGGTCCTAAGTTAAGAACTAGCCGGATTGGCTTCGTGTCTAAGGTAAGACTAGAACTCACAGTCTCCTGATTTTTAGCCCAGTGCCTTAACCACTACACTAAACTGGATTTCCCTGATGTTGGAGTGAGGGAAATCCTTCATCTATTTTGTGTTTACTCTGATTCTAATCTTGCTTGGGCCTGCACATATTGAGCCAGATCTGGAAAATGTGAGAGATGTCATGGGAGCCTGGGAAATGTCAGCTGAACAACTAGCTTCCTCAAGACCAGCATAGCAAGACTCTCTTAGGTATCCTATAGAACTGCTTAATGCTGATTGCCTTTACTTTGGGTGAGGGTTGTCCTTGCTTAAGATCTACTGGTTCAGCAACCATTTGAAGTGATGATGTTGCTGAACAAGGGGGATTGGATTCCATTTTTTTTACTACCGGTTCTGTGGGCATGGCTTGGTGGGCGTAGTTTGGTGGGCATGGCAGGGGAAGGATACTGTAAAATCTCCAGTCAGATGTGGTATTTGCCGGTTCTCCAAACTACTCAAAATTTCTGCGACCGGTTCTCCAGAACTGGTCAGAACCTACTGAATACCACCTCTGGTTGCGGCTATCCCAGTCATCACATGATCATGGCCTGGACCCTTGGCTTGCAATTAAGGTGTTGCAGTGTCCTTACCTTCACATGATTACCAGATTCAGATTAACGGAGTTGGAAGGCACCTTGTAGGTCATCTAGTCCAACCTTCCACCCAAGTAGGAGACGACCCTACACCATTTCTGACAGATGGCAGTCCAGTCTCTTTTTGAAAGCTTCCAGGGGTGAAGCTCAGAGGTGGGATTCAGCAGGTTCTGACCAGTTTTGGAGAACCAGTAGTGGAAATTTTGAGTAGTTCGGAGAACCGGGAGCAGAAATTTTGAGTAATTCGGAATATCACCTCTGACTGGCCCTGCTGGCCCATCTACTCTCTACCTCCCAAGTCCCACCTGATTGGCTGGGTCTTCTTTTGTTGCCCTGCACAGGAGAACGGAGCTGGAAAGCAGGATTTTCCAGTAACCTTCCCCCAGGAATGGGGTGGGAATGGAGATTTTACAGTACTCTTCCCCTGTCATGCCCTCCAAGCCACGCCACACAGAACCGGTAGTAAAATTTTTTTTGAATCCCACCACTGATGAAGCTCCCATAACTTAAAACCATTTGCAACCTTCTCTGCTGGCTTCCAACAAGAAACTCAGTGGAGAAGCAGAAGGTCACAAGAAATGATCTCGAGGCGTTGCAGCTGTCTGGGATTCACCTAACTTAACTGGGACTGTAGAAAAGAGAACTGCTGAACAAGCCAGCCCTTGTCGAACTGTCCAGCTGACAATCCACACTTTCCCCGCTGATCTTAATATCCTGAGTAAAATCTGCCCCTTGGGTGCTTAAATGCACCAGCCACGGGAAGCTCTAAATCGTGATCCTGCATTAAAAACAAAACCACGCCAATTTATTTGCAAGACACATTTAAGCCATTTCCTAGCTAGCCAAATCTTGTTTTAGTCTAGACCAGGGGTCTCCAACCTTGGCAGCTTGAAGACTTGTGGACTTCCAACTCCCAGAATTTCTCAGCCAGCTTTGCTTGTTTTAGTCTAGACTAAGACTAGCGTTGGGTGAAGCCAGTTAACAGACAGGGAAACAGATGAAAGAAACCTTAGTTTATTCCGGTTGAAGGACTGTAGTGTGTATCCTGTGTCCTGTACGTCGCACATGGGCCTCCCTCCTTGGGAAGAAACCAGATAGGGAAGCATCCATTGCAATAGTTTCTCCGCATGCCGAAAGTCATGGGAATGAATGACATCACAAGGGCCCACGTCGGAAGCCGACGTGGGCGCGGCGAACATTCCGGCCAGCCGGCAGGAGAGATAAGAAGTGCCCTAGCACACCGGAAAGAGAGAGGGGCGGGAGGAGGAGGAGGAGGGCGTGGCTTAGAACGTTGAGCAGGGCGGGTCCGAGCCCTTAGTGGGCGTGGCCCGATAGGAGGCATCTGCCGTAAGGGAAGAAAGAGGTGGCGTCGGTGGTTTCGCTATGTTTTTTTTTTTAAACCACTTTGATGAAAGGACTCGTTTCCTTAGAGAAGTCAGCGGAAAACCCTCAGACTTTTCCCCACTTTTACCAATAGTATTCTTTTCCTGTGGTTTTTTGAGCGCAAAGACAGAACGCTTTTCACTTCGTGGTCTTTTTCTTAACCACGCCCCCCCCCCCCCGGCCTGGGATGCAAAGATACAAAGTGTTTTTATTATTTATTTTTAAAATTAAATGATCACGAAACGGGGAAAAATACATTATACATCCCTCTTAATGTATAATTTACTGAACTCACGGGGCCGTCAAAATCGGAAGGCTCATATAGTGAACATTAAATATTGGCAAGAGAAGAAAACGGCAGGAAAGAGCAAGATATATATCGGTTTTATATATACACATACACACACATATATAAATATAAATATATAAACTCCCAAGAGTAAATCGATATTATGGCCCTACAAACAGTACTGCCAAAGAGCAGCATTGGTAGAAGGCAATGTATAGTGGACTAGGGCCCAGTATTAAGCTTTCTGAAACTAAAAGGTGCACGGAGAAATATAATAACACAACATCTATCTATCTATCTATCTATCTATCTAACTATCTATCTATCTATCCATCCATCCATCCATCCATCCAATCATTTCTACATCTCCATATGCATAAATACATAGGCAAAGAGCAAAGCAGGGGGGCTTGCTGCTCCCCTTAAAATCTTTTCACCGTCAGGAAGGGCCAAAGTTCAAAAGCGTCGTTGCCCTTTCGAGGAGGCACCCGACGTATAGGGATTCTCGTCTTCACCGAACCTCTTTGCGAAGGACTGGCAGGGCGGGGCGACACGACAAAGTGGGCGGGGCCCCGGCTTCCTTGCCTCTGACGAACAACGTTGGCGGAAGTGGGGTCGGTGCGGGCTGGAGGAACGGGCGAGTACGGCGGGGCTGAGCAAGGGTGTAATTGGCGGCGGCAGACGGAACCGGCCGGGTTCGGCCGGCGCTCTCCCACCCCACCGCTCGACCCTCCATCAGTCCCGGCTTGAGTTGCCATGTCGCTGTTGCAGTCGGCGTTGGAGTTCTTGGCCGGGCCCGGCTCTTTAGGAGCCGCCAGCCGGGATCAAAACGATTTCGTGGGGCAGGTGGTGGAGTTGGGCGACATGAAGCTGCGGATCAAGAAGGTCATCGCGGAAGGTGCGTGGGGCAGGAGCGGGGCGGAGGGAGCTCCGCCTGGGGTGCGCTTCGAGTCTAACCCCCCCCCCCCATCGCGGGGGAAGGGCGCGAACCGATGTGGTCAGGCGGCTCTCACCTCTTTCCTCCTTCCCTCCTTCTCCAATTTCTTCTTTTTTTCCTCCTCCTCCTCCCTTCTCTTTTTCCTCCTGCTACCTTTTCCATTTCAGTTCCAGGAAACAGACCACATATAAGGCATCCCTAGGAGCCAGGATGCGAATACCCCCCCCCCCCCCCCCCATATAAGAATAATTCCGTATTTATTTTTAGCCCTGCTTTCCATTTTATTACTTTTGAAAGAACGAGGTTTTTACACCAAATAAACCCCCCTCTGGCATTGTATAGCAATGGAAAAGAAAATTGGCCTTGGTGTGTGTGTGTATATGTGTGAATGTGAATTCTTAAATTTGTCAAGGAGACATTAGGAAGAAAAGGAAGGCGGAAGAAAGGTCCTTAACGGAGTAGCAAAGACAGTAGCAGCATTTTTTGTGTGACAAGTGTGACATTTATGGGAGGGAGTCTTCCTGGTAGAGATACCAGCGTGTTAATAAATTGTCCTTAACAAGCTGGGATTAAAGGGGAAGGAGCAGGAGTAAATAAAATAATAGCCTTTATCAGATACTGATTTGGTCTTAAGGTATTGTGGATGGCAGATATGAATGACCTTTTTCTCCATTTAGGATTTTTCATGTTCCATTGTCAGTAAGGTGTTATTGCTTTTGCATAGCTATCTGAAGAGTTATGCATTTTATGCATTTGACTTTTGTGCATTGGATCCAAGGTCTAAAACTTAGCAAAGGCAATTTTGCTATGTCTCACAGTGCTGCCTGGACATATTCACAGTAATGTTTCTGGAGAAGAGATTTCCTAATTTCTTCCCATGAAATAAGTACAATAAAGAAGAATTAACCTGGAAGTGGGGGTTGTAGCAGATGGATCTTTTACAAAGTGCTAGAAGTCTCAGCATGCAAGAATTTCCAAATAAATTGACAGCTGTATGGCTATTTGGTTCCAGAGAACTAACGTTCAGAACCATTTCAAACGTATATTCCTGATGAACCGGGCATGGTATTGTGTAACTGCATGTTGTGATTTCTAAACATGTATGTGTGTTATATGGGTAAACACTGACAAATGATCAGTTATGTATTTTCCTAAACTTTGATGGCAGCGAAAGTCACATTTGTACTCATATTTTGTCCCTAGTTGAAATCATGTCAACTGAGACTACTGTAGAGCTCTGTTGTTTCTAGATTTGTTGGGAATAACTATGAATCTCCTTAGTAGAGATTTTATGACAGTTTTGATTCTTCCACCTTCATTTCTGTCTTTATATTTGGTTAGTCTATATGCTATACGTCTTACAAATTTAATGTTTGGGTTTAAGGCATATTGCTTTGTGCCTAATGTTGTCATCTTAGAAAGTGCTTTCTCTTTCCAATATGAATTTTTTTTCTTTCCTTCTCCTCCCTCCCCCATCTTTTGAGGAACGTGACACATATGACTGCTTTGCTGTTAACTTTTTACTACTCAAAAAACTGCCATTAGAATCTAAAATATTCTTTGGTCTACAGGATAAGATTTAAACCTGTGCTATTAGTGTTACTGTTCATTTGAGGATAGATTTACTAGATTTGTGAAGCTTTTCCTGTGAAAGTGTATTGTTTCATGTGACTAAAATCCTTAAACAGAAAGTTAATACAGTTTGGTGAAGTTAACTATTAAAGATATTGAAAGGGAAGGTACCTTGATGAGTCATATGTCCAAACCAAGAGTTCTGATTTCTTCCTTCCATCCCTCACCGGACAGGCTGTTCTATTCCAGAAATATTGCCCCATTCAACCTGTTAAGCAAGTCTCAGATGAACACTTTAACATAGTTTGGGGGATATCATCCAGAAATTATTCTAATATACATACAATATTTATGAAATATGCTGTGCTGCAGGACTTGATTAATAAAGGTACACTTTGAAAATCCTGTGTTGATAAAAGATACAGTCCCTCCCCTGGGCTAAAGTGAAAGAGAATAAAGTTGAATGGTGTAAATTTTCTGTTCTTACACTAAATATTTATTTTGGTGAGTTCTTGAGCTTTCAAGCATTCTTTTCTCCAGAATTATTATTTTTTTCAACCACCCTGCTGTTAAAACTGAAATATTTCATTTTAATTGTCATTGTATACTGTTTTAAGGCATTAGAAAATGCATAGTCACTGGAGAGGTTGTAGAGGTAAGGCTTAGTATACTAGGGTGCTATTGCACCTGCATGGTTTGCCCATTCCAAAAATAAGACAGAGCAAATGATCACCTTGTTTTAGGATCCAACTCTTATAGCTGGAATGCACCCTTCCAGATTTTATCTGAAATATGGCAAAAGGTTGGCCAATAGCTTTGTTCAGTTGTGTTTTGTTCAGCATCAACTATTCCATAAGGTGATTTATTTGTTTTTTGCGTAGAATATTGTGCGTACCAGGCTACTCTGATTTGTAAAACATGGTTTATATGGCTGTGTATATTGGGCAGTTTCAGATATTTATCTGAATTCAGTCAACTATGGTTAAATAAATCGCACATGAGTATGATATGTAATCTTAGCCAGGACATTTTCATGTCTTGAATGATAATATTTCAAAATGAGATGAATTTTAGCATCTAACAGACCTGGTTACATATATTTGTAGAATGCTAAAAAAAAGCTCTCTTGATTTATTTTCTTTTTAAGAATTATTGGTAAAGTGGACTGTTTTCATCAGGATAGTACGGTAATTTACTGTTTAAATGCTCTCCCATGTAGGAGTTTTGTTTATAATAATTGTTACTGAATTTTGCAGATACAAAGATTAAAAAACTAAGGAAAAATATACAAATTAGTTTCTAACAAATCAAAAAGGAAAAAAAAAGTGCAGAGGAAAAAATAAAAAGGAAGAAAAAAGAAAAGTATATAAGAAAGTGATTGCCCCCTTCATCAAGACAAATACAATTTCAATAACACCACCACCTCTGATATTACAGCAGAAGATCTTTTCATCTCAGATGTCTTATCTAAAGACAAACGTTAAAGCCTCATCAATCCTAATCAGCAAAAATTCATTAAGATTTGCAAAAAATGTGTATTTGTGTGTGTTTGTATTTTAACCTTAAGAAACCTACTTTGTGTTCCTTTTCTTATTTCAAAATATAAGAGATTTTTTTTTCTTTTCATATTATCTTTTATATAAAGCAATCTTTAAAATCTTATTATTTAGTCCTAGTTTCTAAAACCCATTAAAAACTACCAAAAACACCACATGTATTTTAACCTTGATCAGCTAAGCCAACTTTATATTCCTTTCCTTTGTTTTTAAAAATCTTGCTTCTTTAATCCCTTTAAATAGTATCCCCAAAGTGTATTTCTTTTCATTTTTTCCTTGCCTTTTTCTCAGGAACTCCTTCATAAATTTAACATATATGTTTTGAAAGTCCAAGATAAGAATATTGTCCAAGTAATTCTTCTGTTTTATTATTTGTGTGTCCATTTTAGTTATGAAGACGTCAACTGGTTTCATCTGTACATCCAGTGTAACAGCTTTTTTCATATTCTTGTAGCTTGTCATTTTCAAATCCACATCCACCACTCATATATCCTCTTCCATCACATCTTTTAGATCCTTTTTATGTGGCATGCAATCTTGAGAATAACTTCTGATTGCATTGCCTCCAAAATATCCTTGAATTTCCCCAAATTTAAATATTTTATTTCTATACTAGTGGTTCTCTTGTCTTTTAATTATAATTGTTAATTCTTTCTGGTTCCTTCGAGTCTTATGTTTTTCGCTAATCCAGAATATTTTCCCATGGGAATATTTCTTACGCTTACTGTAGTTTCTAAATCTTTTCATATTTTTAATAGAATTTTAAATAACACACAGGAAGCTTGTTTGTAATTAATTTCAAAATCTAATTTCAAATCCATCCTATCTCTTCGTTCATTTATAACATTGCACAATCAGTGTATTAATCACCCTTTGGCTTTTTACTCTATAGTAAGATCCCCCCCCCCCCCGAAACTTCTATAAAAAATATTTTGTTAAGGAATCATTCACGTGGTGTAATGAAACTTTGCCTTGTTGACAATTCTTGCTATCCAAAAAGCTGTTAAGCAATTTCCAGAAGTGATTAAGAAAAAATATATGCAAACCCAATGTATTTTTGAAGGTACCAAATTGTGGCTTCAGAAAAAATGGCTTTTGGTCAGCTTCCAGAGCTCTAAAACACACAGAGAGACTGCTGTTTTATAGTCTCCTTGTGGGGACCCACTGTATGGAGTGCATGTGGACAATCCCAGATCCTCTCCTTTATCCAGGGAGGAACTTCAAGGAGCTGATCTGATTTGCCAGTTCCTTGTCGTGCCACCATGATTAGTAGTTCTGTTCTCAGCAGAGCCATCTTCAGTCACCATTCAGTCATCAGAAGTCTTATGTAGGAATTTAATGCTTCTAATATTCCAGGACAGGGGAAAGATTAATCCTCTACTGATGGATTTAAAATAACAAGCTTTTTATTTGAAGTAGTTTATATATTATATTGAATAGTGATGCTTAATGCCTGATTGATTGTATGCTATCAAGTTAGTGTCAGTTCTTGGCAACCACCTAGATAGATTTTCTCCATGATGTTCTGTCCCCGATCCTGTCTTTCAGGTCTTCAACAAGTTTAATGTTTAATAATAACAAAAAACAATTGGCTGGGGTGTACACTAAGGCCTTTGCCATTGTTTACAAATCACAATGCATATGATGCACTACATATTAAAAAAAATTAAATCACATTAACATGATGTATGAATGAATGTAAAGCAAAGATTGTTCCTACAGGTGCTACTGTATGGCACTAATATTCATTTATCTGTATTGATTATATTTCAACATGTGGACTATTAAGTAGTAGTGAGTTATGAGTTATGTGTAAAATTAAACAAATGTAGA